CCTGCGGCTACACGTCGAGAGCTTGAGAAAGAGTCGGTTGGAGCTTGCGTAGTTGAGTTTTGTTGTTCCCCGGACAGCCACCTCAAGCGCGTGACCACGGAGTTTGGAGTTGAATATCTGGGCTTGAGTCGAGACTTTGTTGATCTGACGGATCCACAACAAGTCTCCCAGATTGAGCTGTGGATGACCGAGCAAGCCACCCAGCACAAAGTACTCCACCTCATTGGTTCTCTGCCGATGCTTGACAGACACAGACGCAACACGCATAACTCAGAAACCTTGTTGGTGAAACACTTCACGAAACTTGCTGAAGTTGCTGCTTGTTCTGGTGGCACCGTTACCTTCCAGTGGCCTCAAGACTACATTGGGTGGAAAGATCCGCTAGTGCTACAACTTGTTGCCAGCTTTGATCTTCGGCTTAGTTACCCCACCGGTTGTGGTTTTAGGCTTTATGTCGGTGACAGAAGACCTTTGATGGCTTGGTGCATTGCCAGTTCTAGCCCTAGGCTCACCACGGAGTTGTCTAGGCGCAAGTGTTGTTGTGAACACCAACACCCAGAGTTGGACGAACACGAAGAGTTCAAAGCTCGCTATTGTAACATGGCCATGGCCACAGTTATTCTAGGAGCTCTTTGTCCCAGCGTGGTTCACGACCATGTTCCTGCTATGCTTGTTGTTGCTAGAACCTCCGAAACCTCAGAGCACATCCAGAGAGAAGTTCCTGGGATGCCGGGCTTTCAAGAATCCTTCGGTCTGGTCACAAAGTCGCTTTCGAGGAAGGAACTCTTGGCATCTGCGGAAGCCTTGGAAGCCATCAGGAAAGAAGGAGAAAAGCTCCGAAAGAAGGACACATGGGGTGACTCCTCAGCGAACGAGCCAGACTTGTTGTGCGATCAGGCCAAAAAGTCGGGCACAAAGCTTCATATCGCTGACGCGATGACCATCGCAGGGGTCAAGAACTACGAAAGGCCTGCAGACAAGCAGGTGTACAAGGGAAGAGTTGTCTACAGAGGCGACGCCGTCAGGGATGAACACGGGTCACCCGCACCCTTCCAAGCACTGCACTCTCTGCCCACAAACATACAAGCGATCAACTTGACGTTGTTTCTTGGCATGTTGACAAACTTTGTTGTGCAGGCTGCTGACGCGTGCCAGGCTTTTCTCCAAGCGCCTTTGAAGACTACTGTTCCAACTTGGGTGGTTTTGCCTCCAGAGCTTTGGCTCCCCCAGTGGCGGGGCAAGTTCCGGAGGGTTGCAGTCAAACTCCGCAAGGCGTTGTACGGGCACCCAGATGCTCCAGCCTTCTGGCAAGTTCACCTCGAAGGAATCCTCACCTCAAAGCTTCAGGCTACTATGGTGGAAGGGTTTCCTTCGGTTTTCTGGATCCCTTCGTTGCGTGTTCTGGTGACCATCTACGTTGATGACATCTTGGCAGCAGGACGGCCGGACACCCTGAAAGAATTCTGGGCACAGTTGGCCAAGCATGTCGAGATAGAAGCTCCCAGTGATATTGATCGCCTCTTGGGCCGCTACCATCACTTCCAAGATGCTGACACTGTCTTTCTCCACATGGGAGATTACGCAAAGCAGGCTATAGACCTGTACGCCTCCCTGCCAGGAGCCAAGCCACTCAAAGCCTCAGACTCCCCCTACGTCTTGGAAGGATCCTTGACGCTTGAAGACTGGGATGTCCGAGGGGAGTTCAGCGAAAATCTTGATGAAGTTGTTATGGTATGCGCGCTTGTGTCGTCCAGATCTAGCGCACGCAATTTCGACCCTAGCCGCACAATCCAGCGCATGGACGAAAAATTCTGATAAACAGACGCACAAATTGATGTGCTATGTTTCTCACACGATGGATGTCGGCCTAAAGGGCGTTGTCAAGGACTCCCTCCGCGACTGCGTTTTAGACCTTGATGTAGACGCTGCTCTAGCAGGCTGTCCACATACGGCAAAGTCGACCTCGGGGTTATGGTTGCAGATTTTTGGGCCGAAAGGCACGCAGTTTCCGATTGCCTGGGCTAGCCGCCGCCAAGGAGCTGTGTCGCCTTCGACAACAGAAGCGGAAATGATATCCCTGGCAGAGGGACTCTTCGTCGAAGCCCTCCCCGTTCAAGACTTGCTGTCGAAGGTTGCAGAGCGTGTCGTGCCGTTGGTTGTCCACGAAGACAATGAGGCGGTTATTAAGGTGATCGAGGCAGGGTATTCGGTCAAGCTTCGTGGTTTGCTTCGAACCCACAAGCTGTCGATCGCGTCGGTGTCGGACTTCGTTAAGACCCACAAGAACGAAATCCTAATCAAATACACGAACACAAAAGAACAGCTAGCTGACCTTTTCACCAAAGCAATGGCCAGACTTCCCTTTCAGGACCTTACTCGACGGTTGGGCCTCGCTAAGGTTCCTGTCGCCTAGCTGCTGTGGAAGGGAGTAGTCCGCGAGACTCGCGGATACTCCTCTCCAGTTCGTCGTCGAGGAAAAACCTCTGGAAGACAGGACTGCGAGCCTCGCGGTCTGTCTAAACTGGAACACTCAGGTTCTGCCGACGCTGCCTCCGGCGCCGCCGCCGCCAGCAGCTGACCAGCAGCGCCGCTTCTTCGGCCGCCGTGTGAGTCGTGGCACTGCAGTAGCTGTTGTGGTTTTTGCCTTGAGTTTCTGTGTAGTGAACTGTTTAGAGGGCATTCAAGAAAGCCGGAATGCATGCAGCCTCTTGAATGCTGCCTCCCCCTAGTTTCGTTCCGTCTCGTTGACCTCTTTCTTCCGCGGAGCCTCCTCCGGGCCGGGCGGAGGAGGGTCGGCGAGGGCCCGCGTTTGGTTCCTCTCAGCGGGGGGACGAGATTAGGGGCGGTAGTTTGTAGACTTCCTTGCCGTTGTGCAGAGAGCTAACCTAACGCGTTTGGCTCAAGGCGGAAAAAGGTGAAGGATTTGCTGAGAATCGCGCTTTGTCGCCAAAAAGGTTTCGAGCACGCCCGAGAAACGGCCTTGTAAGGCACTGCAAGGATCATCGATAAGGAGTCGCGTATCAAACTGGCCTTCTTTTTTTGCGTCAAAATGGCCTTTTTCGATGTTTCGGCTCACACATTGCCTAGCCTCGGCCAGGTCACGGTCACTGTAGAACGGATACAAGTGGTACACCAAGGCTTCACGGTTTAGGCAGGGTTTAGGATTTAGGGTTCAGGGTTTACAAGTCTCGGCCGCGTCTCGGCCGAGTTTCGGCTAACCCTACGTACATCTTCAACCATGAGCCCCACACCCTCAACCCTAAACCGTAGACCGTTAAACCCTGGACCCTAAACCCTAAACCCCCGAGACTTGTAAACCCTGAACCCTAAATCCTAAACCCTGTCTAGACCGTGAAGCCTAGGCGCACCACCTGTATCCGTAATACTCTGACCGTGACCTGGCTGAGACTACGCAATGCGTGAGCCGAGACATCGAAAAGGAGCATTTTGATGCAAAAAAGGCCAATTTGATACGCGACCCTCGATAAGCCCACGATGTTCTTAGGGTCAGTAGAGTATACCCTTTGCGTTTGTGCAGCGGCCCTGTCTTGCTGTGCTGCCTGACCGCCCGCATGTCTCAAGAAACGCTCGCGGCTAGAGAACACGCCGCGCGGCCGCGGGGGGCTTCGAGGCAGCAGGTAGAAATGTCCATGTTCAATATTCCTGAACTGAAAGCTCTCCGGGATTCGCTCGTTCTGAGACCAGCGTAATTACAGTTGCAAAAGGTTTTGGGTGTAGGTTGTTGGAGGCTATTCTTTCGACGCTGTGCTCGCCTCCAGTGGCGTCCGTGCATTAAAGGGCTTGCAGAGCCTTTCCATGCTCCGAGTGTTTTGGCGATCGCCCGCGGGTGTTCGGCATGTTTAGGAGGAACTCACGCCAAAAGCAAGAGATGAATGGCGCCATCATTGACCTGCCAGGTCAATGGATTTCGATCTTCAAACAACTGAGGCCGGGTGTAGGACAGCACAAGGATCTTTGGCCTCAGGAGTCGCGAGGTGCCGACATCAACTGTCCGGCTTTTGAGGTAGCCAACATCATCTAGCATCACGCGAGCTGCTATACTGCTTCAACAGAGACGAGATAGCATGTCACAAACTTTGGGAGATGGTGTGGTAGTGGGAGCTGTTGCGTTCCGGCTGCACAATTAGCCAAAAGCAAGCAGATGTTGGTTGGGTGGCAGACCCCAGATGGTGAGTTTGCAAATCCGAGAGTTTGGCATCCCAACGCTCTTTGCGTTGTCTTGGGAAGCCCTCAATTCTGGCGAACTCACACGATTGGGCGCGCAGCCCCCAAGCCCCAAGCCCGATGTGTGCAACCAATGCTATCCAATGCTGGAAGTCTTGGTGGAGCCGCCACCCAGCCACCGTGAGGATCGTGGTTTCTTTGTTTGTTTTCGCAACACGGTATGCATGCACCCTGGCGCGAGCCAACTGAATCGAGGCAGTTTCGTCGTGTTGTCGTCAGACTGCATCCGTCCCCGCAATTTGCTGCCATTCGTGGTTACAGCGCAATGGGTTTGAACGACACATTGATGTTACAAAGACTGTGCGACTGAAACTCCGAGCCCAGCAACTCTGGTTTAGGGGATTTTGAATCAAGCCAAACCATGCAGACCCTGCATGTATAAGATCCTCAATAAAGGGTTTAATGGAGATTTCTTTACACTATTCCGAAGCCATCAATATTGATGTGGCCACAAGAGTGCGAAGGTGGCGAATCTCGGTCAACGCCAGCGCAAGGCATCCTGGGTTTGGAGAATGAGGTGTTGTAGGGTTTCAGAAGGGTGATAAAAATAGGGTTTTGCGAGCATTTTCCGCTCCCTCGGTCAGGGTTGCAGGAGCTATGCTCCAAAGGAAACATCAGCAATGAGACCATTAGGACTATGAGTTAAAAACATCATAGTCATGGTGTTACTCATAAATTAGAATACGAATTCAGTGTCTCATCCTTCGACCTATGGAATCTGACAAACACGCACAAAGGTGCCACAAAGAGGGTCAGAGCGCTAGACAAGACGCGTGGATGGTCGGGTCGGGGCGCTTCTTGGAGCGGCTGGGGAGGGCATCATGATACTTGCACTATACGGTGCTGCAGCTCGCAGACCTTGATCTTTGTACGTTACGTCCTGCATGAAGATGTCAACTTGGGTGGGTCCAAGTCCTCCGAAGCTCGACCACCGGCGTGCGATTCTCCTGAGGCGCCACAGGGCTTCTCTGCAGCCGCGTCTGAGAAGGCTTTCATCAGGCAGGTGCGTTTTAGGCGTTGCTGCTGTCAGGGTCCACATGAACCAATTCCCGAGAATCCCTGAAGGAAGCAAATCGGGGACCGTGCAGCTGCGGGTGGTGATGACGCTCGTCCGTAGTGGGCAGGGCTAGTGATGGTTTCCCCACTGTGCCCCACGGAAATCGGTGTTCAGATTGCTGGCTGCAACCGCCTGTCGACATCGAAGCATCAATATCGAGCCCCAGATACCACGGTTCGCTTCTCTGAATACTGATTCCTGACAACTGCCTTTCTGCATGGATTGGACGTGTCCAGCAAGATGAGAAATCAGGGACGGCGGGTGTCATCGGATGTCCCCCTCGTCGAGGCGGGCCGAGGCATCGATTCGTCTTCCACACAACTTCCAAATCTTCGTCGGCGGTGCAATGCAGCACGAAAGGGAACAAGCCTTCAACATGCAGCCCAAGCCTGAAAACGGCACGAATACCTCGGGTCCCTTTGCCGTTACCCCAACCGGCACGTTGAAGACAGTTACAAATTCCAACACTTCAACTTGAACCCTACACCGCTAATCTCCTAAGGACACCATGGCGATCAAGCCAGAGCTGCCGCCAGAGTGCAAGTCCCGGCACTCAGCAGCTCTTTGGGAGCAGACAGCCCGAAATGCGAAGAGTCAAGAGGCCACACAGCTTCGACAAGATCTGCTTCAAGGACTGGCTGTTCAGGGTGCCCGATTTGGCAGTGAGCTGTCTGGAATCTGGAAGGACATTCTTCCAGAAGAGCAAAGGACTAAATATGGAAGTAGTCCCAACAAAGACAGAACCACACGCCCAACAAGTCAAGCGCCAAAGCTGCAGACCCCGCTCGCCGACCTCTGTCCTCAGGACTATAAAGCAATGGATGGCCCTTGGTTCGTTTGTGCTGGAAGCTCGGTGCAGCGTCCCCATTCAAAGAAGGCCGTACCTGCGTGGGTTTCGGGTTTAGTGTTCAGGATGATAGCAGCGCCTCACGACGAACCTTTCGACGAAGTTAGCGAACCATTTGTCTCTCAATCGTGTTGCATGCCTTCGCTGCAACTTACCTGAGATGCGTGTCCTGAGCAAGTCCAACGACTCGTGCTGAGCAAGATTTCAAGCGCACTCCTACACCCGGTACTGGCCCCCCTGAACCTTCCCGGTATCGCCCAGGCGCATCGCAAGTGAGAAGGGTTGCTGCCTTGGCTCGTGGAACCCAAGTTGAGATCAGGGGCTGTTAACGAGTTTCGGCTGGTTTCCACATAGGATCGCAAGAGAGTAGCAGAACCGGTCCGGGTTTGGAGTCTTTGACCTTACGCGGTCGTTTTCTAAGACCTTTTGTCACACGACTGCGTTTCAAGCAGCATGCGCTTGGACAGTGTTGTGGGAAGATCTTGGCAGTCGGCCTTTCGTGTGCTGCCGCCGTAGGCAATGAGCCTTCACGTCCCTACTTGGAAGGGCGTGTGCCGAGTCTTGAGATCGCTGCTGCTCCTGTCCTTCAAGACATGGCGCCCAACAGGAGCAGATGAGACAAAGACAACTTCTGCTGCAACTGAGGTCTCTAAGACAGCATCTTAGAAGTCACTTGCAATATCCCTGATTTCAATACACGTGCAACGCACACATTGGGAAATCTATATCCAAAAGACAAAAAGCAAAGAGAGGCAGCGAAAGGAGGCACTTGTTCTCTACGAGGATTGTAGGAATCAAATGCTCCAAAGCCAAAGTCGGAGCCATGGACTTCAGCCAGTCCCTGTTTCTGCAGAGCAAGCGGCTGGCTATCGAATGGCTGCTCTCCTACGTTCAAACGGGACGTGCATAGAGATGAGGCTGTTGGCGGAAATCTTCTCCACGCGACGTAGGCTTGAACATTGAAAGCTCGAATCGAAAAATTCATGCTTCGCACACCGTTTCGCGCACTTCGGCCGTAATCCTCGCCTGACAACTCAGGAAGTCCAAGAGCATGGACGACGCAGGCACGGCTGGCAGAGAAGAGAGAATCCTAGAATTTTTGGAGAAGGCAGAGGAACAAGACTCGGACTTCGCTAGGAGGGTTCCCCGTGCTTGCAGGACTGTGTGGTGAACTTTTTCGGGAAACATGGGCGGAGTTGATCATAGCGTGACTCTGTGGTTCCTTCTTTGCCATCTCTGTATGATCACAGTTCGGGCGCGTAGCTCCTAGTGATGGATGTCTGCGGTCTGCGACATTTAGATTGCTTGGAGCTGTTCGTCAGCAAGGTGCATTGCGGTGGTGCCAATGGGCCAGTCGTGCCATTCCAGCCTTTGCAGACTCAGCTGCACTGAAGTCTCCGGAGTATGCGGTGTGCTGGTTGGGCCGCGAGCCCTTTGCGGCAGCGCCTGTAGTGTTAGGCATTGGGATCCGCCGTCTGTGATCGGAAGCCTGACTTGAAAGCACGAGCTGAACCTTGTTGTTGAGCCTGGCTCTCATGTCGTGCTCCCAGGCAAAAGGCTTTGTCGAAGTTTTCGTGGCACATCTACGGAAAATCTACGGAAGGAACTCCTGTCTCGATTGAGCTGTACCTCGTAGTGAGGCTAGGTTACTGTGTTTCCCGCATCCCATGTCGCATCCCCGAACAACCTTCACATGCCTGCTTGTGTGCTTCATCCTAGTCTTTCGCTCGGAGACCCACCACGTAGAACTTTGACACTATCCAGACTATCCAGCGAGCCCGCATGCCACAGCGTGTCCCGCCCATGGCTCTATGGTCGAGCTGCCCAAACCCTAGAAGTGTCAAGCTGCTTGAGCGATGAAAGCGTCTTAGGTGCACGAGAAGCAGCTGAGAAAGCCGGCAGAGGACAGATTCTAAAGCCGACTCTAGCCGTTGCTGCTGAACAATGAAACGAGGAGGGCGTTGGGTTATTGTTTTAGCACGTCGTGGAAGCCCTACAGCCCGAAAGCCACACTGGAACATGTTCCAGATCGTGGTAGAGTTTGCACTTTGCATCTGTAGCTTGAATTTCGGGATTCATTCTGACTGGTGCAAACGGAGCATCTGAGAGGACACCCTCCTGGCAGCGAGCATCGTGGATTTCTCCGGAAACAACATCGGAGACAAAGGCCCCAGCAGTGCTTCTGGCTTCCGGAGTTGAAGATGCACTTAGACTTCAGGGAGAGGGCCATTGGAACTGAGAACAGACAGCGCGTGTTTGCACGGCTAGCTGGAGAGCTGGTTCGAGATGAGTTGATCTCATGACGTGCGATGTCTGCCCCGATGCGTGTTTGCGTTATTATGTATGCGTGACCGCGTGACCTGGGACTTCGACCTGCGTAGGGAACCGAGACGACCCATCGAGCTTGCGTGATCGACAGCGCCGGCCATGTCAACAGAAAGAGCCAGTCTACATAAGTCACCGGACACTAAAGGGCGCGCTGTCCCTGAACCCAACAGGCACAAGTCGGATGACTATTTAGCAAGTCGGCAACTCGGGCCTTGTAACCTCCTAGCCAAAGCCAAGACTGCCGCTACGGACTACACGACTAGCGTTTGGCAGATTAGTCCTGCGATCCCTTAGCAACCGGGTTTAACTTGAATCCAAAGCTACAAGACCCTCGAGCTTTCAGCAGCTCGTTCTGCTGAACACCTCGTAGATCGTACCCTACTGTGCGCTAACAGGCTCCAGCAGGCTCCCAGGTTATGACCATCATTGTGTATGCAAAAACACTGACAGACAGAAAAGCACTGACATACATGTGTGTATGTATGTATGTATGTATGTATGTATGTATATATATGTGGATGTGTGTCAAGTACATAGAGATAGATGGATGGATGAATGGATAAACAGATAGATGGATAGATGGACGGATAGACGGATAGATGGATAGATGGAAAGATAGATAGTTGAATCCATAAACCTCATTGTTCTTGTTCTGGTTTCTATCTCTGCAAATTCTATTCCGGTTTGTCAGGGTGCCACGGCATCCTGTCACTGCTCTTTGAGCACCCTGGCAGTGAGGATGTTGGCGCTTTTGCGATATGGTTCGGGAGTTCCTCCAGGTATCGGAAGATGACAAGACAAGCTGGCATGACATTAGGGGGCAGAGCTAGGTGACCTCCTCCGGCTCCTTGCAGAGAGAGAGCTCCCTTTTCGCTGAGGCTCCGCATCGCAGCAGACAAGCTCAAGCTGCACAAGCGACTCGGCGCAGCTTAGGCACGCGGCATGCCTGCGGCCTGTCGTCATGTTTCGAGCTTCGCTTGCCGTGGTCTTCTGCTATGTCCACCCGATATGTGTCCGGTCAAGGAGCGTGAGACCAGGGTTCAAACGGCTCAGTTGAAGCCTTGGCACTGAACACAACATCGCCCAAACCAATGGTTGTCTTTTGACTTCGGCGCGCACCTCCATCTTGGCATCTCGTACCTTCTAAGAAGGCCGCGACGAAAGTTTGCTGAGATCTTATGACGTCATGGCGAAACATGCGCTAGCAACCTCAATGACAGCAACAGCGGAAGTGACGGAGCCAGCCGAAGAATTTCAACGATCAGGGAAGAGGGTCAAGATCACTTCCTCTGAGCAACTGGCGCTTGACCGCCTGACCCGTGTTCCACACTCTAGTTTCGCTTGCCCAACCATCATGTCAATGTGCGTGTACATCAATGTATGCATGCACGTATGTATGTAGGCCTGCACCGTAGACATATATGCATGCTGATGTGTTGGTTCATTCATTCGCAAAGTTTTTCGCGTATATGTATAGCAGCTTGCACAGTATTTTGTAGCGGCGTCACGTGCCTCGGTAATGCTTGCTGGCATCTTTGCTGTGCCTTGCTGTTGTTCCTGTTGAAGTCGGTACGCCCAATCAGGTTTCTTGTTTCGTGCTTCTAATGATATTTGGCTCATGACGTGAAGTGAACGTTGTGCTTGGATCGCTTATCAAGTTGCTCCACGACCACATCACTAGCCACTAGCCGCTAGCATACAGGTCTCACGAAAAGTTTATTGTCCTTCAAGCTCAACCAGTCCCGAAACATCAAACCCAGCTTCAACCTCCTCACCCTGGACCCGTTTAACTGCCCAAGTCCCCGCCCTCGAACCGGAAACCAGCTCAGGAATTTGCTCGGCAGAGCAGCAGCTCAGACTCTGATGCATTTCCTGGGTCGCACAGCTGCTTGGCCACAATGACATGCGGACCCCCCAAACGAAAAGCCGACAACCCCGGTTTTCTCGAACCTTAGACTCCCAGGCCACCTGCACTAGGATCCTCGATATCGTGGGCTGCTTTCGGGAATGTGGCATGTATGATTTTCGTGTTGATTTGAGTCCTTTCGTGTTGTGCTCGTGGAGGTGGGTAACTGGCCCCACGAACCGAGGAGCATCCGCTGAACGAGTTACACCTCTCGCACAATTACATCACGCGAGAGGGGGCGGTCGACATCCTGAAGGGTGTTGCGACTCGGCTTCGGGAGCACTGCATACATGCATGCACGGATGTGTTGAAGCTTCGAAGCGTTTGACCGTGGCAGCACCGTTCCAAGATGAATCTGAAGGGTGAAAAGGCAGAGGGCCGGCGGCCGGCAGTCGACGCCTTCCACAGAGAGCCTTAAAGCTGTCATGGGATCAACCCGAAAACCACACATAGCATCAATGAGGCCACAAGAACTCCACGAACAAGTGCGCTCCGTCACAGCTCTTCCACTGTCAGCCCAGGGCAAGCCTTGTGCCAAAGCTTAGGCCTGGAACCCGCGATATCCTGGGACGCTGTGGCTCTGCTGCAGATCAAAGCGTGCCCAGTGTGCACTGGTCCTCACCCGTCACTGCCGCTACATGCATTCTGCGCTCCTCGCTGCAACGCGCAGGCGTGACAGCGTCGGCCGCCTGAAGTATGTGCCCCTGTGGCTACGGTTGGCGCCCTGGCTCAAGACAAGGTTTTTGAGGAAATTGAAGGATACGATGGTGCCTGCCCCGCTCTTCTGCAGAGGTATGGAAGTTAAGCACAGGAACGGATAGAGGGCTTTATGAGTGTGGCAGCAGGGGCTGAGGAGTCCAACATGATCTCCGACGCGGAGGGCCTCCTCGTCCAAGCAGAGTCGCCTAGATCAACTTTGAAGCCCATGTTCGTGAAACCCAAGCCTCAATTACAAGACTCTTTCGACTGGTATACTACATAAGTTTATAGCCTGCACATGCCTGCACGAGCCCCAGAGCAGAAGCCTCGATGCTGTGCCCGA